CCATCTCTGATGCGTTGGCTGTTCAGAAACGTTACTGGCTGGTGTTGTGTCTCAACAATAATCCTCTGTCCACCAATATAGCAGGAGAAATGTTTCACTGCCCACACAGTGGTCAATAGAGCCTTCTCACAGTCTGAATACCGTAATTCAGGGCCTGCCATTGTTTTGCTGGCGTAGGCCACAACACGCCTGTCTTTGTCGTGTATTTGGTACAGACCTGCACTCATGCAGTAAGTTGAGAAGCCCACTTCCAAGTAGAACTCTTTGTTGTAGTCTGGGTAGACTAAACATGGGGCTAGCTTGAGCCTGTCTTTGAGAGCGTTCATTGCCTGCTGTTGTGTATCAGTCCAGACAAAAGGAACGTCTTTCTTTAAGAGTTCAGTTAGTGGTTTTGCGAGATCCGCATAATGCTCTATGAACTGGCGAGAGTAGTTACACACTCCCAAGAAACTCTGTAGTTCTTTGAGATTGGTTGGGACTTTGAGGTTGTCTAGGCCTTGGGTGCGAGTCAATTGTGGTTGTACTCCGTCTGGACCTACTAGGAGGCCAACGTAGTCCACTTTGGTTCTGCACCACTGGCACTTTGACAGTGAGATTTTAGCACCAGCAGTTGTTAGCTGATTTAGAACGTGGTCGATCTCGGCCATATGAGAGTCCAGTGTTGGCTGTCTCAAGAGGATGTCGTCCACGTAGATCAGTGTCCCACGCTCGTGGGCGTCTGGACATGCTTTGTTCAAAAAGATGTTGAACTCTGCAGGTGAGTTAGCGTAGCCAAAGGGACACCTGGTAAAGGTGTATTGTCGGCTGCCAAAAGTGAAAGCTAGTTTGTGTTGTAAGCACATCTATTTCCCCTTTGCAGCGGGAAACTTGTGACATTTTCTCGTCGTGATCCCGTCTTAATGCAAAGTATTCACTGGACCACAGCTCTTTAGCATCCCTGGCTTCAGATAGTGATGCATTAAGTAACTGTATTTTGCTATTCAGCGAATCAATTTCTGCATTTGCATATTGCCGTGATTGAAACATCTGTTCAGAATGTTTCCTTGTGAGGACCTCGTGTTCACTTTTAAATTGAAGGAAGTGTTCTTCAATCTTCTGAACCACCTCTTTTTCACTGTCTAACCTTATTGCAAGGTAATCAGCTCTCCGAACAACTGCATAGCATGATTCTTTCAGCAAAATTGCAATTTTAGCCAGCTTTCCATAGTTTGACATTGAAATTTTTGTAGAGGTCACACTCTCTGTAACCTCCATCAGATTGTCCACTAACTCTTTTGGGTTCATGCTGTCCGCCTGTTTGATCTGTGAATGTACGGGTGCTGTCAGCATCTTCAACGCATTCTCCAAGCAGTCCGTCATCCCATAAGGATCAAAGTCTTTTTCTAACACACCTGTCATGTTTTTCACTGTGTAGCACTTTATTTGTTTAAAACAGTTGCAAGCTTCAGATATTTTTACAGGTAAATATTTTTATTCAGATGTCTTTGAGTTTTCACACTATTTTAAGCTCTGGGTTTACACAAAAGTACTGTTATAAGTCACTTATTCAAACGTGGGTACCTTTCTGTAGGTTTTACCCCAATTCATGAATATTTAAGTAAATGCTTCCCTGGCAGTGTTACTTGTCATGTGCTTATTTCTTAACAGATACTAGATTACCAAGCTCTTTTTAGTGTATTACACTCTAAAGCACTGAATTTTTAATAAACCTGCAATTTTTCTTTTTAGTCTCACAGCAACATAAGTTTAAAATGTTTTTTAAACCGTTTACTTCCAGAAATCTGCTATTGAACAGTTACTCATAGAACCAAGTGGTGGACAGAAAAAGAGAAGTGGATGATGTGTCAGGATTAATCAGTCTTTCTTCAGAAAAACTGTTATTACTCCTGTCCTCCTGCAAATCTTCTATTTAAAATTAAATAGGAAGATGTATTTTTTAGGTGGCAACTTAAACAGAAAAGTTTCTTTTTCCTGATAAGTTTACTCTTATTTAGTGATTTTGCAATTAAACGTGCATTATCTTTCAAGCAAATGAGTAAACTGTTCAACTCTGTGAATATTTGAACCGTATCTTTTAAAAAGTTTCCAATTTTTCATTTTGTCCCTCCTTGTTTGAGGAATTCAGTGAATGAAAATGTCCTGGTAAATGCCTTTTTTTGCATAAATACCTCTTACTTTTTAAGTGCAAGATAACAGTGATTATTCAGCTAGAGGAAGTTTGTTAACTCAAAGTTCGTCTTACAGAGAAAAAAAAAACGTTTAATTTCACTAAAATACCTAAAAAGCGAAGTGAAACTGTGATCTCAAGTTTCTCCAGGAGGTGGCAGTGTTTAGCTTTTTACAAGCAGGAGTCAATGACGACTTCCTGTGACGTTCGGTTGACATCCTGTTTTTAGCCACTTAGCTTAAAGTTAGCTTCGGCTAAACTCGGTTAAAATCAACATTTCTGAACGAATTTAAGCGTAAACGTGGCGTTCTTTCAACAAGCACGACTTTTTAGCATGAAACATGAGTTTTCTGGGACATATGGCAGCTTTATTTAGTGATTTTAAGCATAGCAAAGGCTCCGGTTGCAACCGAGCTCATTTCCGACATGGAGGAAGTGACGTGACACGTCGCTCATCCGGTCGTTAGCTGTTAGCTTAAAATTAGCATCGCTAGCGTTGTTCAAAAACATCATTTAATGACGGATTTTAAACTCAAACGCGGCGAAATTTCAACAATTAGACTTTGAAGAACTTAGCAGCTGATCAGAATACAGCTTTTAAAGCGTTTTTCAGCTTTAAAAAGCAGATTTTATTTCCCTAAGAAACGAGTTTTCATTTCCGGGTCACTGATTGACACGTCCCTCATCCAATGAGAGCGTTCCACGGCAGCTAATTCAACTGGATCCAACCAATCACGCAGCGTTTTCCCCAGCTAGCATGTTAGATTTGTCTGAACAAGTCCGTCACTTTTCTGTCTTTTAAACTGTCAAAATGCACTTTTTCTGTTAAAAAATGTAACGAATCAACTCTGAGCTTAGCTGAGACTTCGTCCAGTCTTTAAAACGTTTCTCCATCTATTTAAAATACTCGTTCAAACTTATCAGAACCGAACCGGACCAAAACCGGGTCTTGCAGCAGAACCTCCATCCTTTTAAACAGAATAAACGTTTTCCACAGCTCATAGCCAGCTTAGTTACACATAACAGGCGTACAATTTCAGCTTTCATAAAGACTCAATGACACTATTTCAGCTTTCAAAACATCACTAGCTGCAGTATTTCTGTGAGCTTTCTGAGCATCACAGCCCAACACGCTGTGCTCTGCTATTTTTCTTCATGCCAACACGTAAAATCAATCTTTACACGAATACACAGTCATTTATGAGCACGTTGACGGGCCACCAGGTGTTTTCACACCTGATAGTCCGGTAGACTCGGTTCGGTTCGGGACCAATATTCATGACCTTTTGTTACATTTGAGCTGGTGTGTTTGCATTCACACTGCACTGTGCAGTCGAGCCAACCTGTTGAACCAACCTGTTGAACCAACCTATTCCCCCGCTCACCTGTGGTGGTTCTGCACCAAGAACTACTGAAAGAAACATCACAAAAACCTCTGAAGATACTTCTTCTTCTTCTGGAAATAAAAACGGAGTGGCATCAAGTTTTAGCAGTTTTAGGAGTTATATTTTGTAATTTTTCAAAAATGGACTCAGCATGAGCAGAATATGAGGCAGAAGACCACAGAGAATATTGTTTTTCACACAAGGCAGCTGACGGCTCCATATAAGGTAAGAGAAATGCGTGTTTGTTTGCCCTGTGCTGTACTCCACTTCTTGCTTGTGGAGTGGGGCCCGGTCTGTTTGCATTCACACTGTACTTGAACCGCGCTGGAGTTCTCTTCTACCGGACCGAGATCTAGGTTTTACCCCGGGTCAGAGTTCGCATTTTTGTTCCATGACAGAGTTCGATAGCGCATTCACACCTCCCCAAACGAACCGGAGTTCGATTAAAGCGGACTAAACAGGGCTGGTGTGAATGCACCCTTAAGCTCCATGTGGAAACCTTGGTAAAGAAACTGAAAGTTAAACTGGGTTTCTTTTTCAGAAACAGATCCTGTCTAACTCTGAATGCTAGGAAACACCTTGTATCTGTGACTTTCCTTCCCTTCATTGATTACGGTGACATTATTTACATGAATGCTCCTACAAGAACCCTGCAGATGTTGGATGCTGTCTATCATGGTGCACTAAGATTCATAACTGGCTGTGATTATCGTACCCATCATTGGACCCTGTATTCACTGGTTAACTGGACACCATTAACTTCACACAGACTCTCCCACTGGTACATTTTCATCTTTGAATCACTTCTTGGTCTGCTGCCTTCATACATCTCCTCCTACATGTCTCTGTGTGAGTGCAGCTACAGAGTGCGCTCTCAGGACATTATTACCTGCAGTGTTCCCTCAGTGCGGACTGAACTTGGCAAAAGGACCTTCTCTTACTCCGCTCCCATTTCCTGGAATATCTTACAAAAAGATTTGAAGCTCTCGACCTTTGACCTCTCTAAGTGTCTTTAAGATTCTGTTGGACTCCTGGCAGGGACCAATGCAGACTGTTCCTGTTTTTAGTTTTCTTCATTCGCCTTATAATCTAGCTGTTCTTGTTACTTTTTTCTGCCATCTTATTTGTAAAAAAAAAAATCTGTATGCCTTTTTATAACCGTCTATGTCGCTGTTGTCCACTGTTGTCATCATTCTTTGTTGTAATCAGGTCTCTCTTGTAAATGAGTCCTCGAGGCTCAATGGGATTTACCTGTCTAAATAAAGGTTGAATGAATACTATTCACAGTTGCGGTGGAGAGCTGGGGTGTGTGAAATGTTTACTTCTTCCGGGGGAGGGGGGTAGTGGTAACAGAAAATAATTAAGAAGCACTGCATTAAAGGAATGTAATTGATTGCCATCAGCTATTTAGATGTATATGCCCTGAACTCATGATCATCTGGTTGCAGAGTGATGTGCCCACAGCTCAGAGGAAACGCTTCACCAGAGTGGAGATGGCCAGAGTCCTGATGGAGAGGAACCAGTATAAGGAGAGGCTGATGGAGCTTCAGGAAGCTGTCAGGTGGACAGAAATGATCCGGTAAGACAGGACAAGCAGTGAATAAAAACATTCATGTAGCAATGTTATATTTTAACTGGACAATACACAAGATATGTGTACAAACAAAATGAAAGTATTCTGAAACCCAGAGGACACTAAGAGGTTCCCAAAAGAAATCCAAGTGCTGTCCGCATCAAAGAATCATCAATTTATTATTATTTTTTTTTAATCTTTTGTCTTTCAGAGCTTCAAAGGAGAATCCAACCCTTCAAGAGAAAAAAAAATCCAGTCTCTGGCAGTTGTAAGCACCTTTATTTTTATCTGAGGTTCTAAATATCAAGATGTCTTGTAATTTATGTATTTTGATGCATTTATTTTGCATTTCTATGGTCATTTTCTTCAGGATGTAGGTAAACATTGTATGGCTTCATATTTTCATCCTAAATGCAAACACTTTACAATGGAGACCCACCTTTGATGTCAGCTTTAGGAGTAGTCTTTACAAAAAAAATCTGCTGGCTTCCTTAGATAGAGAACTTTATTAATTGGCTTTTCTATGTATGTGAATGTTCCTGTAAAGTGCCCTGAGACAACTTTGTTGTGATTTGGCGCTATATAAATAAACTGAATTGAATTTTAAAAATTTAAAGGTGGACTGGGAAAATCAAACTTTTACAGCAATGTTCAGTATTCTTCAGTATTTGTAATGTTTAGCCATGCTCTCCATTGTTAAGTTTTAAGGAATGGATTTGGTTTGACCTTGGTATTTTGAGAGGCAAAACAAGTGGAAACAAATGGACTCTGATACTATCTCTACCCTGTTTCTGTGTGTCTCTTTATATTCTGCCTGATGTTGTAACGTCTGTGTGCAGGAGGTGTGTTGGGGGCTGGGTGGGTGGTGTTAAGGAGGGAAGGCAGGAGTATAGAAAATAAATTTGACAGTTTAACAGCTCCGATTTCTCGATTAACAGACTTGTGGTGCTGGCTGCAAAATATTGATTTAAAGATTAGTTGCAACTAATAACTGCAACCTGATGCAGTTATTATAAAGGGATGGGGAACTGGAGGATTCTGGGGAAAGGCTTGTTCTGCCCTGTGTTTACTAACGTCCTAGTCCATGTGTATTATTAACTCCCTGCTCTCCTAACAACTTATTTATTCATAATGTCAGAACAAGTTTATGGGAATGTGTGTATCAGTTTGTCAGCTATCTGTCGCAAATTGGCATGAAAAACTTTTTACCCTTAAATGATACATCCCATCTTACTGCTGGAGCTACCGCTTGTGTGTTCCCCTTCTATATGTTTGTCTTTGTGTGCTTCTTTTTCCTCTCGTCCTTCCTCCCTATTTCCCTGCCCTTACACGTCCAGTTTCAGCCGTTTGTTTAGCTCATCGGGTGGAGCAAGCAAGAAACCAGCAGCCGAGGCCCCGGTGAACGTCAAGTACAACGCACCCACTTCCCAAGTCCAGCCCTCCGTCAAGAAGAAAAGCAGCACCCTGCAGCAGCTTCCCAGTGACAAGAGCAAAGCATTTGATTTCCTCAATGAGGAGTGAGTTTTTCTGAGGACATTTTTTATATGAACATGCAGATAATCTGTAGGAATCAGAGCACTTTGTTTAGAGAAACAAAGCTAACTGATGCCGTGTAAAGTGGATGGTATCCTGGTAATTTCTATTTTAATTACTTAAAATATAGAATTATTTAGATTTTTACATAGGGCCTGTGGGTTACTGTGTACAGTTCAGACTGAATGAAAAAGACTGCATCTCAAAAAATTTGAATATCATGAAAAAGTTCAAAATTTTTTGTCATTCGTTTCAGAAAGTGAAACTCGTATATTACATAGATCACACATAGGGTGAAATATTTCAAGCCTTTATTTTTGTAATTTTTACGATTATATTCTACGAAAAACTGGAAAAAAAAATTCTGTGTTTCATAAAATTACATAGCCACCTTTGACAGTGTGGGCAGGAGCTAAGTCCTGCTGGAAAATGAGATGAGCTTGCCAGCAAAAGGAAGCATGAAGTGTTCTAAAATGTCAGTACAACAACTCAGTGGTTATCACTGTTGCCTCAAAGCAAGAAGGTCCTGGGTTCAATCTCCGGTTGGACCTGGGGTCTTTCTGTGTGAAGTTTGCATGTTCTTCTCATGCTTGCGTGTTTTTTTTTTGTTGTTTGTTTTTTTTTTGCAATACTTTATTTAACAGTTTTTAAGTTTGTAAAACATTAACAGAACATTAAAAAAGAGAAAAACATGTCAATATCCCTACACGACGCACCCCAAAGTGAGGAAAAAAAAAATCAGGAGAACAAAACAGTACAATAGCGACTGGATTGACAGATAGTGAAATGTGGCACCCTTTTAACATCAGAGTCAGTCAGATTCTTTATTGTCATTTGCACCTCATGTGGTGGAGCGAAATTATGTACACAGGGTCCCAGTTACATCCAACAATAAAATGTATAAGAAAAACAGTAATAACATCTAAGATATGAACTAAGAAAAACATCAACTAAATATACACTAAGCACTCATAACATAAAACATTGAACATCAGCACAAACATGAACATGACTATGCAGAATCTAATAGAGGCACTGGCATGGTGCCCATATAAGTCAGATAAGGCTGCCAGAGTTTAACAAAAGTTTTATAATCCCTTCTAAGAGAGTATGTGATCTTTTCGAGTGGAGCACAGTTATTCATCTCTAAGAACCACCTTGAAATAGGGAGTTGGAAGTCAGACTTACGCGTAATGACTATACATTTTCTGGTAACACATAGAGCCAATTCCAGGAACTTCTGTTGACTTGCATTTAATTGTGTCCCCAGATTTGTAAAGTCTCCTAATAAGCACATTTGTGGATCAAATGTTAATGAAAGTCCTAGAAGTTTTGACATAATATCAGAAAAGTCATGCCAGAATGTGTTTACCTTTATGCAATTCCATGTGCTATGCAGAAATGAACCCTCTTCAATGCCACATCTAAAACATAAATGGGATAACTCTGGTTTGTATTTATGTAATTTTTTTGGTGTAATATAAGTTTGATGGAAGAAATTATATTGAGTCAACCTATATCTACAATTAATGGTTGCATTTATACATCTCTGACATAATTCAGACCATAGTTCTGCATCAATTGCTGCATGTAAGTCGGTCTCCCATCTCTCCATTGATCTGTGTAGCCCTGGCTTTAATGCAGTACACATTATAACAGGGTACACCCTTGAAACAAAAAGAGGTGAGTTCCCTTCATAAAGTATTTTCTCCAGGTCGTTTAAAGGAGGTAGGGCCATAGTTGGATCCAAACAAGTTTTAAGGAAGGATCTCAGCTGGAGATAGAAGAAAAAGTTCCTAATGGGTAGATTATAGTTTTTCCTCATGTCCTCAAAGGACATCAGAGATCTGTTTTCATAGCAGTCCTCCAAGTAGCGAACCCCTCTCTGATGCCATTGTTCCGGAACCTTGCTATCCAGCGAGGTAGGTATGAGTCCATTCTGTTTCAAGGGTGTACGGGGTGAAACAATGTTCTTTACTCCAATAGCTTTGTGAGCTTTGTGCCATATTTTAATCAAATGAATTGAAACAGGGTTATCCGTTTTGTTAGAAATACTCGTAGGGATCCATTTATAGATGAAGTCCGCAGGTGAACTTTTTTTAACATCATGCAGACCCACATAAATCCAGGATGGTATATTTTCTTTCTCAATGTAAAAGGCAGTAAATTTCATTTGAGCCGCTAAATAATACTTTTCTAGATTGGGTAACTTAAGTCCATCAAATTTATAATCCCAATTAAGTTTTTCTAATGAAATTCTTGGGGGTTTACCATTCCATATGAATGTTCTGCTGTGTTTATTGAGATTTTTAAAAGTTAAATCTGGTCCTCTGGACATTCAAAAAAACAAAACAAAGCAAATCAACAAAAAAATGTAGAAACGTTTCGTCTCTCATCCGAGAGACTTCCTCAGTCTGAGGAGCTGTATTCAGCTCATTCTCTTAAATAACACCGTCTCAGAGTGGATCAACCAGTTTTGCTGCTGACAACCAAAACCAGCTGATCACATGCTCAAGAAGGACCATCAGCCTAACAATGGGTCATTAGCACACTGATGGCTGTTTACTGTTCACAGAGGGCTGAGTGATACTAGCAATCACAGCATTGTAAGAGGGGGACAGTTGAACCCGGAGGCCTCCACCTCTGTTTAATGATGGACGATTTCTTTTCACAAAGATGGCCTCCTTTACTCCTCTCTCAAACCATCGTTCCTCTTTGTCCAGGATGTGAACATCTTCATCCCTGAAAGAGTGACCGCTGGCCTGGAGATGAGTGAAGACCGCAGAGTCCTGGCCTGATGATGTTGATCTTCTGTGCTGGGCCATCCTTTTGGCCAGTGGCTGTTTTGTTTCCCCGATGTAAGACTGATCACAGCCCTCCTGACACTGAACAGCATACACAACATTACTCTGTTTGTGCCGGGGGACTGGATCTTTGTGATGAACCAATCTTTGCCGTAATGTATTTTGGGGTTTAAAAGCCACTGGGACATTATGTTTAGAAAATAAACGTCTCAGTTTCTCTGATACTCCCTCAACATATGGAATGACCACTGGTCTGGGTCTGGGTTCTTCCTTTTCACCTGTTGGCTGACTGGAGTCCTGTTTGGGTTTCTTCTCTGCTTTCAGGAAGGCCCAGTTAGGATATCCACATTGCTCTAGAGCCTGTCTTGTGTGGGATTTCTCCTTCTGCCTGGCTCCTGAGCTAGTGGGGACGCTGTCTGCTCTGTGGTACAGAGTCCTGATGACTTCTAACTTGTGCTCTAAAGGGTGATGGGAGTCAAACTGCAAATACTGGTCTGTGTGGGTGGGTTTGCGGTACACCTCAGTTTGCAAATGTCCTCTATCAGAGACTGAGACCTCACAGTCCAAGAAAGCCAACCTGCCATTTTTTACATCTTCTCGTGTGAACTTGATGTATTTATCCACAGAGTTGATGTGGTCAGTAAAATGTTGGACTTCCTGAGATTTAATTTTAACCCAGGTGTCGTCAACATACCTGAACCAATGACTTGGTGGTGTCCCTGAAAAGGACGTCAAGGCTGTCTTTTCTACCTCCACCATGTACAGGTTGGCAACAATAGGAGAAACTGGAGACCCCATAGCACACCCATGTTTCTACCTATAATATTGCTCCCCATATGTGAAGTAGGTTGACTGCAGGCACAGTTTCAAGAGTTGGCACAGTTGTTCTGTGGAAAGTGTGGTCCTGCTGCTCAGAGTGGTGTCTGATTTTAATCTTAAACTGACCACCTCTACTGCATCATCAACAGGAATGCACGTAAAGAGTGATGTGACATCAAAAGAGACCATTGTTTCATCAGTCTCCATGATGACATCCCTCACCTTATCCACAAAGTCCATGGTGTTCTGTATGTGGTGTTCTGAGCTGCCAACTAAAGGGATGAGTACAGACGCCAGATATTTGGAAACATTGTAAGTGACAGAGTTAATCATACTAACAATAGGTCTTAAAGGTACACCTTGTTTGTGGATTTTAGGTAAACCATACAGTTGCAAAGAAGTATAACAGTTTTCCAGAAAGAAAGCTGTACACTCGTCTTGCATTTAAATATTTTTTCCTCTGTTAATCAGAGCCTGGTTTCTGTGTCCTGTTTAAATAGCGGATTCTGGTAAATTAAAACAGCTTAAAAAGCGTTTGAAACTACAAATTGATGTCAGACTTTTAAGAAAATTACAGGTTTATTAATTTTAAGTGCATTTGAGTAAAATAACACTGAAATGGCCTGGTTCATTGTATCTGTTAAAAAATAAAGCACATTGAGTAACACTGCCGGAAGAAGGCGTTTACTTACAATATTTATGGGGTAAGGCCTTAACAGGGGCCCATTTATTGAAAAGTTGGCTTGTAACAGTACTGTTGATGGAACCCAGAGCTAAAATAGTGTGTGAATCTCTCTGCTCACTTAAATAAAATATTTAACTGTTAAAAACTCTAAGTTTGCAACTGTTTAACCAGACAGGTTTGCTGAACAGTGGATAACCATGGCAGATTTAACAGAAGCTGATTTTGCTCCATGTGATAAGAAGGACTGGTTAGAGAGAACGTTAACGCTGCTAACAGAATCCTTACATCCATATGGTGAACAGGTGGACAGCATGAACTCAACAGAGTTATTGGACGAGCTGAAGGAAGTTGCAGAAAGTGTGACTTCTGCAACCATAACAAAGTCAAGCTATGAACATCTGGCTAAAATAGCATTCTTGCTGAAAGCTAAATTTTATATTGAGGTCAACAAGGAAGAAGCCCTTGATGAAAGGTTGAATAGCGAGACAGAGGAGTATCTAAAGCTCATGGCACAGTTTAAATTTGATAAGGAGACCTGGGAAAATGAATTAAAAGGTGAGAAAGAGCTCTCACGAGCTCAGCTGTTGTTACAAGCAGACTCATATGAGGTGAAGCTACGTGAAGGAGGGATTAAGTACCAAGCACTGTGTTCAGACAATGATGCGCTACAACGACA